AACTAGAGACTAGAGACCCAAAACTAGAGACTAAAGACCCTAAACTAAAGACTAAAGACCCAAAACCAGAGACCAGTCCACCAAAACTACCAAAACTAGAGACTAGAGACCCAAAACTGGATACTAAAGACCCTAAACTAGAGACTAAATACCCTAAACTAGAGACTGAAGACCCTAAACTAGAGACTAAAGACCCAAAACTAGAGACTAAAGACCCTAAACTAGAGACTAGAGACCCAAAACTTGTTCTGGATCCCGTCAGACTGAACTCAGCCCGGAAAGTACACCAGAACTGGTTCTATTTGGTCTTTTCCCAGAGACCCACCTCTGGATCCGATTGGTTTTTCCAGGGACCCCCCTCTGGTTTGGTTTTTCCAGGGACCCCCTTCTGGTTCTGGATCCGTCAGACTGAACTCAATGGGCCGGAGAGAGGATATATTTTCCTTGATTTCGGGCACTTTTTAGCACAGATGAGTCGAGTGCTCGTACTATGATTATTTACAAATGTAAGATAACTAACCCTGACGTTTATTTAATTTTTCCTTGTTTCTGTTCACTCACGTTTTCCTCCTGAACTATTCCTCATGTCCCTCACACCCAGTCATGTGAAATATTGTAATAAGAGAAATGATTTCCCTAAAAAATACAACCTAAAATATTGTTATTGCCTCTTTTGTACCCTTTAATTAGACGATTCATTTCCCCTCAGTGACCAAACCAGCTCGTTTTCTCCTGAAATTCTAGAGCTTTTGGAAGATTTGAGTTGGATATTTTGCAGTAAAGTGTGTACAATCATTTCCTCATAACTCCGTTTATGAGTCGTATTAGTATCATCGTTGCAATCGGAGTTTAAAAAGTGGAATAAACTGACCTGTGGTGGCTGGATATTAGGTTATAAATCAGCATAAATTCACAGTAATCAGGATTGTGTTGAGTCTCAGGGTGTGAGAAAGAAACAGATGTTCCAGATGTGGAAAACTACACATCTAAATCCTCACATGCTCCTTTTTATTGAGTCCTTTAACAGAAATAAACTCACCTGCAAACATGAAACGTGTTTATTACTTTAAAGTGGAGGTTGTTTCCAAAGAGGTGTGTCCATTTATTTAATAATGACCAGGAAAAGCTTCCGAGTTGGTTTCTTTTTAAATATTTCCACCTGAGGATTCATTTTGGTATCGCCATGGCAACTGGTTCGGTCCAGTTTCTGAAGTCTTTTGGATGTGAGACTTTCTGCATCATTCAGTGGTAAAAGCTTTGCTCAAACCCCTGTTGTACACATTCAGATATACCTGATAACAGCCAGTAGAAGACCACACCAACATAGATTTCTGACTTATTGCACGCTAATTTGATCAAAATAATTTCTGTTTTTTTTCTTCATATGTTGTTGAGGGGCCAAAGAAAGACTTCAGACTAAAGAAATCCAATATTCTTCCTATTTTTATTGGATCAGGCTTTAAAGGGATAAATGTTTTGTTTTTTAAAAGGGGGGTTTTCTCGTTTTTAAACCCTATAATGCCAGATGTGTCATATTTGATACATAGGGTTTCTGAAGTCCTTTGGATCTGATTATACCAACATAGATTTTTTACTTATTGCACGCTAATTTGATCAAAATCATTTCTGTTTTTTTTCTTAATATGTTGTTTTCTCCTGAAGTTCTAGAGTTTTTGGAAGATTTGGGTTTGATCTTTTACAGTAAAGTGTGTACAATCATTTCCTCATAACTCAGTTTATGAGACACATTAGTATCATCGTTGCAATCGGAGTTTAAAAAGTGGATATTAGGTTATAAATCAGCATAAATTTACAGTAATCAGGATTCTGTTGAGTCTCTGGGTGTGAAAGGGAGCAGTTCCTGAATCCAGATGTGGAAAATCACACATCTAAATCCTCACATGGTCGTTTTTATTGAGTCCTTTAACAGAAATAAACTCACCTGCAAACATGAAACGTGTTTATTACTTTAAAGTGGAGGTTGTTTCCAAAGAGCTGCGTCCATCTACTTATAGGAAAAGTGTCTAGATGTGTTTGGAAAAGCTTCTGAGTTGGTTTCTTTTGAAATATTTCCACTTGAGGATTCATTTTGGTATCGCCATGGCAACTGATTTCAATAAGAACCATGTAGAAAAAGAAACGATTGAGTTTTGGTCCCTAACCCTTTAAAGCCTGATCCAAGAAAAATAGGAAGAATATTGGATTTTTTTAGTCTGAAGTCTTTCTTTGGCCCCTCAACAACATATGAAGAAAAAAAAACAGACATTATTTTGATCAAATTAGCGTGCAATAAGTCAGAAATCTATGTTGGTGTGGTCTTCTACTGGCTGTTATCAGGTATATCTGAATGTGTACAACAGGGGTTTGAGCAAAGCTTTTACCACTGAATGATGCAGAAAGTCTCACATCCAAAAGAAACCCGATCAGATATGACACATTTGGCTTTAAAGGGTTAAACACTCTATAACTGACTTCATGGTCAAACTGCAAAAAAGAGGCTTCATGGCCTTTTTTCGGAGGAAAGAGAGGAACTAGTATTTGTGAGTACCTGGAAATGATGATATCACCTTGTGCCTGCCAGGAGTTCCTGCATTTAAGGTAAATTTAATGTTATAAATAATTCTTAATGTCAGACAAATATTAACTTTTTATTTAAAATTAAAAGTACTTTTAGTTCTCCTGCTAGTCCCTTTAAAGGTATAAAAACAAATACAACAGAAGAAATAAACAGAAGTTATGTCATTAGTCATTATAATAAAAAAAGTCAGATTTAGTAATTGATCTTATTGATCATTTATGAATTTATTTATTCATCAAAATTGAAAGTACTTTTTATTCTCCTGCTAGTCCCTTTAAAGGTATAAAAATAAGTACAACAGAAGAAATAAACAGAAGTTATGTCATTAGTCATTATATTAACAAAGTAAGATTTATTAATTGATCTAATTCATCTTTTATTAATTTATTTATTCATTTATAGTTTATTTTAGACACAACTTATAAAAACTAAATAGATCGGAGGCAGCGCCTAAAATATTTAACCAAACAAATGTGTTTTATGTGTTTATGAGTTTATGTTGAAGATTGAATTAATTTATTTCTTTGTGAAACCAGCTCTGTTTGTTTATAAACATTAGAGTTGAACGCACACTTGCAGAAGTTATGTGATAACAAATTATATTTTTCTGAACTTTCACCATACAATTTAAAATAAGCATGTTTTCAAAAGTTTTAAAAGGGCAGATTTTAAGCTTTAAAATAATTCTCTGGTCTCTTAAATCAATGTGGATCCTGGAAAAAATGCAACTGAAAAGTAGTTTGGATCAGAATTATTGTTAAATAAGAGACAAACAGGCTGTGTTTATTTATACAAAATAAATAAAGGTCAAACAGAGCTTTCATTTTTTAACCATGTATCCTTCCAACTTTTTCTTTTTAAACACAGGAGCATCTTCACCATTAGAATAGGATTTCTCCACTATCTTCAAGACATTTTATCTGGATTTATCATCACAGTATTGAGCAGAAAGAAAACTAAAAAAATAAAATAATAAATAAACTGTTAAAGGATAAGCAAAAGTCTGAACAATCCCTCCTCTGGTTTTTGTTTGTCTGAAACCTGAGAGGAAAATGAGGGATAACCTAGATGTCCATAGTTAGGCTATATACAGTGGTACACTGCTTTATTATTTATTTAGGATTTATTTTGTTACATACAGTGGGGGAAATAAGTATTTGAGCCCTTGCTGATTTTGCAGGTTTGCCCACTTACAAAGAATGCAACGATCTATAACTTTAATCATATGTACATTCTAACAGTGAAAGACAGAATCCCAAAGAAAATTCCAGAAAA